AGAAGGGTGAGCAGGCCGGAAAGAAGCCATAGGTAATGGAGATAAAATAAAATGTGCAGTTTAGCCAAAGTAGAGGAGACCAGAGGCAGTGCAAACAATAAGGTGAGTGCGGTATGAAGCTCCGGCAGATATGGCTACAGCAGCATGAGTAGGAGGGGGAGGCAGGTGGGAACGCAGGCATGGGGGGTCCCTGAAACATCAACACTCCAATTTCACACGGGGGTGTGAAGCTAGAGTGACAGCACTGACAGTTCAGTTCATCCAAAGCCAATGACAAACCTGTGATGGATAAGTTGATATGGAATTTAGGTGGGCTTTTTCATTTTTAAGCACACAGCAGTTCTTTTTCATATATTCCTGATTCATTTGTCATATATATAGTGCTAGATTTTTCAAGCTGTATACAAGTGAAAATTTATTCTCCTCTGAGTAATGAAAATTTGAACATACATGGCCCAATGTACCTTGTGAAGGCACTGTAACATCTCTGCTTTAGATTGCTCTTCACAGATTCATCCAGCAAGAGAGTACTGGCTAGTTACTTTATTTATCTCATATTTAGCTCTCAGTAGAAAGAATTGGTTTTTTTTTTTTTGAAAACTTGAAATATCTAGATCAGAGCTGCCCAACGCTACTCCTGCAGATGTAGGACCCCGCAGAGCCCTGATCTAACACACCTGATACAGATAATCAGCCCCTTCAATAGCATCTCAGTACTAGAGCCAGCTATGTTGAAGCTAAGTTGGCTCTAATACTGACATATTACGGAAGCGCCTGATAATCTGCATCAGGTGGGTTAATTTAGGGCTGCGGCTAAGCTCTGCAGCGTGTGGGGTCTGTAGGAGCAGGGTCTGCAGGGTGAGGGGTCTGCAGGGTGTGGGGTCTGCAGGGTGCGGGGTCTGCAGGATGTGGGGTCTGCAGGAGCAGGGTCTGCAGGGTGCGGGGTCTGTAGGAGCAGGGTCTGCAGGGTGCGGGGTCTGCAGGGTGCGGGGTCTGCAGGAGCAGGGTCTGCAGGGTGCGGGGTCTGTAGGAGCAGGGTCTGCAGGGTGCGGGGTCTGCAGGAGCAGGGTTGGGCAGCCCTGATCTAGACTGTCCGCTTGTCAAACTGCTATTGCTGTTTTGTTTAATGTTGTATTTTAGTCTTTACGTCTGTATTTTGATATTTATATGTGGTGTGCAGAGAAGAGCAGGTTTTCGATATTCTATCTCACAGCCATGTCTCTGTTTGAGTTTTGAGGTTCGGTAAAGTTGCATCAATGAAGCTGAATTATAGCTAAATGGTCATATGGTCAAAATCATTAACGCCATTCATTCATTCATTCATTCATTTCTTTGTTCATTCATTCATTTCCTGGACCACTTTGTCCTGTGTAGGATCATGGGTATCCAGATTTTATCTTGGATACGAGGATCTGGAAGGCAATGCGAAAAATCATTAGAAGCAGTTAAACTGTTTTCAGCATCAGAACTCTTCTCAAGCCTAGCTACATAAAAACTCAACTAACAACCAAATACTGTAACTAAAAAAGGCAGGGAAAAAAGGAAAGAAAAATGACTAATTAAAACAAAGGGGTCTTCATATTAAAAGGAAAATTATGTTTACCTTGGTAACTGGATTACTTTTGCAATAGGACAGTAACAGCAGAAAAACAAATGAAACGCAGTAAACCATCGATGGAGGGGGCAAGGTGCGGGCAGACAGTCAGCGCTCTGTTTATGTCTGTTAGTCAGTAATGACTGTCAAAGACCCTGCGTGTGAACCCTGGTGCAGCAGAGTGTTCTCAGCAGTGTGCACACATTTGTGTGAAAATGATGTGGAACAGTCAGATATGCTACAGAAATGATTAAGCATCTTAGCAAAGATGATTTGTTAATACGCGGTAGTTAGAGTCATTATAGGCCGTTGATTTACTCTGAATTCTGATACATCCAAAAGTGGGCATTTTTGTAATGCATTAGTGTACTCGTTATGATGCGTATTTAAATTTCTGCATAAAAAAATCCATTTTTATATTGTAAGTTAAAGAATGCTTAATTAAATGCGGCACAGTTATTTTTAAATTGCGGCAGCATTTTGAGTCTGATAATTACTGGATCTTTCAAGGCTAAATCAGTTTCTGTATAACAATTTCTGTACTGCATTAAGTTATTTTAGCTGACAGTGAAACATAAATATTGGTGTAATTTGCAGAAGCCATTTAGCAGATGAAACAGCTTGAATTTTACCTGTATTGGTTGCCAGGTTACAGTCAGAGTGACACTTATAATTTTGCCTTTTGTTACACAGATGGCAACTGCTACACACTGGACATCAGCACGCTAAGCTGTTTTCTTACATCTGTTTTGCAGAAAAACCAAGGGAACACAAAGATGATTATCTAGCATAGATACAGAGTCATTCTAAGGTGCCAATAGGGAGGTCAAGTGTTGCAATACTGTGCTATATGTAGACAGTGTACCACCATCATTGTTTGACCTTCACATTTCTATTGCAATCTTTTTTTAGGGGGGGGGGCACGTTTCCAGGCAACACAAAAGAGGATCTTCAACATCACTTTTTTATACCAAATGTCGGAGAAGCTGTGTTGGGCAGGACAAAAAGCTGTAGCTGAAAACTGTATTTTAAAAACTAAAAAACTGTATTTCAAAGCTGCATATTTAACACTAGACATTTAATTCTGCTAAAATTCTTACTAAAGGTTGTGCCCGCTTTAAATGTTCCTACATTTGCGTAATACCTGGTGAATGCAACACTGGAAAAGATCTGAAATATGTTTTTACTTAATTTAAAAAATCATTGACAAGAGAGAATTCAAATTTTAAATGAAGGTAATTGGGGCTTAAATGTGTGCATATGCATGGTTTACAACATCGCATACTGACATTCTGACATTGTTATTCGTATGAAAGTAATAGTTTTCTCCGTATGCTGTTTATTGTACAGTAAAACTTATTTCCTTTTTTTGAAGAAAGGATTTAATTGACTAAGCAGTTTTTTACAGCACGACCAAGAATAGCCAGTTATGACAGGTACATTTGCTGCTACAATCAGGGGTGTTTAAGCCTTTGGAACTTTCTGTTCGTTCACTGTATCCTACAGATGTGTGTAAAACATACACCCACCTTCAAAAGTCTGATGTTTAATCTGATGTTATCTATAGAATAGGGGTGGGGAACCTGATCCATGGAGGGTTGCTCCAGGTTTTTGGGATGACCTCTCAATCAGCCAATAAGAAAGCAGTGGTTCTCAACTCCAGTCCTGGGGACCCACTGTTATTGGCTGATTGAGAGGCCATCCCAAAAACCCGCACCAACACCGGCCCTCCATGGATCAGGTTCCCTAATCCTGCTATAGAATATCTAACAAACGAAGAATTTCATTTGTGGGCTGAGTGTCATAGATGAGCACTGACTGTAAGACTGTCATTGTCCTGTCCCCTTCGGTGTTTGCCGCGGCACAGGTTCCACTGCTATGTCCTCAGTCGCTTTATTCTTTTCCCATTCAGTATGGGATCGTCCTGGATGCCGGTTCCTCGCACACTGCCGTGTACATCTACAAGTGGCCCGCAGACAAGCAGAACGGCACGGGAATAGTGACCCAGCACGGGGAGTGCCATGTTGAGGGTGAGAGAGAGCAGCCTCTCCTGTCTGCCTCAGCTTAGACTCTCCACTCATAAATCTGGCCTCCATCTAGTCCTTTACCAGATAAGATAACGGATGACTGAGCTGAGACTTTTGGGGAAACTGATTTGCTGATGCTGTGTCCCCTTTTCCCCAGAGGCTGCCGCTTCCCCTGCAGATGTACATTTCAACATCGCAACCTGAAATACATGCTATGTTCCCCTTTTCTGTGGTCAGTCTGTACACTTTATAACCCCTGGACAGTCTCCCATTCGCTCTGCTACTTATTTATTTGTTTCAGGGTTGCGTTTCTAGGTTGTTGTTTTTTAATTTTGTAGGGCTCGGCTGTATGACCGAACATTCTGGCGGTAACCATGCCTACTACCTTTCTGATGTGTTCCCTGACAGGAAGAGGGATCTCTAGCTATGCGGGGAAACCAGGAGGTGCAGGGGGCAGTTTGGAGGTGTGTCTGAACCAGGCAATGCGGGATATTCCACAATCCCGACACCGGCTCTCCCCTGTCTACCTGGGAGCTACAGCGGGCATGAGGCTACTGAAGTGAGTCACAGTGCAGTTATAAAAACAAGCCTCGAGAGGGAAGGGGGAAGTGGGAGGGGGCATTTTAACCGTCAAAAGCATCTGAGCAAGCACCTTAATTGTGTGTTGGGTGAGGTGTAGCACTTTTACTGTACTTTCCTTAAATATGGGAGATTCCTTCATATTTATTGGTGATATTAATCTGATTGTTTATTTCAGCATGTCCAGTCCAACGGAGTCTGAGAAAATCCTGCTTGAAGTGAGGAACAAAATCAAGTCATACCCTTTCAACTTCCGGGGAGCGTCCATTTTGACTGGCCAGGAAGAGGGGGCATATGGTTGGGTCACAGTCAACTATTTGCTAGAGAACTTCGCAAAGGTACCTCAGCCGGTCTTCAAGCGAGGCGGGTGGACTGTGGGGCGGCACTCATGCCACTCCCGCGGGGTGCAGCGGGCAGACTTCAGACTTTTACCTCTCTGTCTTTCATCTGGCATCTTTGTTGTGTTGTTATGTGCGTGAATGATGACCGTCATCGCTGGACCACTCCCTGCATGGTTGAGTGACTGAGTTGAAATGAAGAAGAGACAATATGTGGTGATATGCAAGAAAGGGATGAAATGGAGACTGACTGCAGGAGATAAATGACCTGGCTTAGGAACAAACGCCCATCAAATCCCTGACAAGCCCTGCAGGTCAGGGCTTTCCCACCCAGCACGACCAGACAGCATAACAGATAAAACAGAAACACGACAAATAGGGTGGATGGTAAAATGCAGTGGAACGTTAATTTTTCTTGCAACATACGCAGGTTTCATCCTGGTATGCTGGTTTTCCCCCTCAGTCCAAAGACATTCAGTTAAATGAACCAAAGTCTCTAAATCGACCGTGGTGTGTATCAGCGGCAGAGCTAGACAGTTTTCAGTGGGGTGGCCAGGGTGGGGCCAGACGTCATTTTGGGGGGGGCACATAAATCTGAATATGAATATGAGGCATCTAAAAAGTAAGGGAATATTTAAGGTACTGTACCGAGGGTCCGAGGGTCGAAGAGCCGGGGAGTCTGTCTGCGGACGCAGACACACAGAGAGGCGGAACCCAGAAGGGAGGTCACGAGGAGGGTGGACGGGAAGGAGAGCAGGCAGGAGGTGCGGGTAACTCGGGGAGGGCCAGACGGACGGAACGTAACTGCGGGAAGCACAGATAGTTAGATTGCTTAGTAGTGGTGCGCGGCATAAATAGGGAATTCCATTTTCTCTAGGCAGGATCAGCTGTGGTTGCTGTCGTCACAAAGTGGGCGTGACAGGTACCTAAACACCATAACTCCACATCGTCACCGCCAAAAGCTTCCCATGTGTCCTGCGGCTGTAGAGAAAAGTTCCGCCTCGGAAACAAACGTAATTCTGGGGAAGAAAAAAATGCCACAAAATGCAAATACGAGCCACGCCCACCCCTTGCGACCCCCCCAGATCAGTGTATGGTGTGTATGTGTCTTCCCTGTGATAGACAGACATGCGCCTTGAGCACTAGGCTGCCTGGGGCAGGCTCCAGGTCCTCCCCCGATCATGAACGCTGCATGATGGATGGAATATGAAGTGCTGCAATAGTTAAACATTCACTGGGGAATGTCAGTGCAGTGACATGGCAGTGCATGGTACACTTTCAACTAGCATTTTGGCAAACAGTGTGGTGAACATTGTAGGGCCTCTACTGGACGTTGCACAGTGGCAGAAATCACTGCACAGACGACTAACCCGTGATATCAGGTTTTAGCGATATGCTCTTTTGAAACATAGCTGTTGTTCAGGCAACTTGACAAAAAACAAAACTAATGTGAAATGTGCTTCCTGTGAATATGGAACATGATATAAGGAAGTATTTTCTGGTGCATCCTGAGCAGTCAGTCTGTGTTCATGTTCCTCATTGCACTGTTCTTCCTCTCCAGTATGGCTTTGTGGGCCGCTGGCTGAACCCAGGGAAAGGTACAGTGGGCGCCTTGGATTTAGGAGGGGCGTCCACCCAGATCACGTTTGCAACCCAGGACACAGTGGAGGACAAGAGGAACAACATGAAACTCCGCCTCTATGGACAGGACTATTCTCTGTACACTCACAGCTTCCTGTGTTATGGCCAGGACCAGGTGCTACTCAAGGTCATCGCCCTTCTCTTCAAGGTACGGGAGTCCCTGTCACAAAGAAGATTAATGCATCCTTTCAGATGCAATGCCTGGACATCATCTACGCCTTTGACCTTTCAAGAATCCAGAAATTCCTTACTATAGCGTTACTTTGGCAACCAGTTAGCATCCATGACTTAGGATCTGTTCATTTTGGAATTTTTTTGAAAGTGTACTTCCTTGTGAGTGCCTGCTTCTCCCAAGGTTTTTGAGATTTTCATAGTGTAAAGCATATACCATCTTTTATAGCCATGGGTCAATACTAAGAGCAAAGGTTATATCTGCTTGATTACCTGAGAAAATGGTCAAAAGTGTGATAATAAGAAACAAGGGGGAGAGAAGGTACAGATCAGAGGTGGATAGTCCAGGTCCAGAAAGTAAAAATCCAGATCAAGATTTTGTTTCAACCAACCAGTTGAGTACTCTGTGATTGTGACTCTTTATACTCAAGTGGTTGGTTGAAACAAAATCTTGATCTGGAATTTAACTTTGTAGACTTGAACTATCCACCTATGGTACAGATGCAAGTACAGTACAAGCTCTAAAGACTCAGATATAAACATGAGGCATTTTCATTTCATTTGTACAAATCGTGATAAGCCCCCAATATCATTGGACAAGGAATCTTTTTCATGATGTGTCCATGACTGTTCTCCTCTTCCTGTCATCTCTGTTAGTCTCAGGGTTACGGCAACTTCATTTACCACCCCTGCTATCCAGCAGACTACAATGCCTCTGTGAATTTGGGGGATGTCTTTGACTCCCCATGTACGGTGAAGGACAGACCCCAAGCCTACAACCCCAATAGAAGAGTGACGGTGCAAGGCCTAGGTGAATACCAATACTGCCTTGGCAATGTATCCAAGATCTTCTCCTTCAGTGAATGCAGATTCTCCAAGTGCTCCTTTGATGGCGTCTTTCAGCCCGGTGTCACAGGCAGCTACATGGTGAGAGATATCAGTGGATGCTTACCACTCTGATCCTTAAAAAAGCTTATATTTGTAATGTAATGAGTCTGTTTGAGGTTAGCAAGATGTATAGGCTGTGTAAACCCAAAGGAACTACGAAGTTTTGACCGAACCTGACAATCGTATTTAATCGTCAGTTCAAAGCTATTGGTATTCCACAACAGCTCACTTCCTCTCTCCATTTCAGGCGTTCGCTGGCTTCTACTACACCTACTCTTTCCTGCAGCAGGCCACGGGAATCACAGCCAGTACTCCTACTTTTCTGAAAGAGGCGGCGCAGATTGTCTGCAATATGACCTTCAATGATGTAAGTCTGACCGATGACCTGAGTATTTCATCTAATGGTTACTGGTGCTCACAGCACAGAGGCTTTTTGCAGATTTCCTTTCAGAGGTTGTCACAACCAGGATGCAGAGCACTTGGTTAAAATATATTTATTGACTTCCACAACAAACAAAATAGGGCGCTGCGAACCATACCAGGCCAGGTTTTCTACTCAATGGTCCCTGGTACCACTGGACAATGTGTTGCAGGAAACGGGTAGCCAACTGGATTTGGGCCTGGGATTGTAAATGCAGCTTGAGTAAATGGTGTATGAGTAGGGTAAGGAAGTAGGAACAGGAAGTAGGAGACAAAAACTAGATAGTGGAGCTAAAGTACAAAAACCAGACAACAAGAACAAACACAAAGCTAAACTCCAGTAGCACTGCACACCAGCGGAATTCCAGCTGACCACTTCAAAGAGACTGTGACAGGCATGACCTTGTCACACTATGAAATGTAATCAAGAAAATGGGTGTACTACGCCCTATCACCCTATTGTCTCTTGAAGAATCTCTGCACTGGACCAGAAGCAACAGTTCATGTGAAGAAATTGACATGTTCCAGATTGGGACGCATACGGCCATAATACCCATTCAAACAGCACATATGATGAGAAAGGCTGGACTAGACGAAGATAACTGACTGAATAGGAATGCTTCATGTATGACTGTCAGGAGACCTCGACTGCATGGCACCTGATAATAATGAGGCATGTCTGCACTGGGCAACAGCTGTCAAAGTCAGGGATACGCATGCCTGGTACGCTTGGACGCATTCGCCATCTTACGTGATACGTGTGGCAATTTCTTGTCACAACAGCGCAGATCCTCACTTATTTCATCTGCGCTGCTATTACCATAAGAAATTACCATGTATTTTAACTTTTATATGGCTAATTCGTACTTGATTCATGGTATAAAGCTTCATTAAAATACACGGTAATTTCTTGTCATAGCAGATCAAAAGCACATGGAATAATTATGCATCGGCTCTGTTATAAGAAATTGCCACACGCATCACTTTACACAATGAATGCGTACCTGCGTGCCAGTTATTGATTACTTCTACTACTTCTACGATTATAGTACAGTGTACAGTATAATATAATTCTCCCTCCCTTATTTGTCTTTACCTCTCTGTCTTTATTTCTATGCATAATAGATGCTGGCCAAGGCCCCAGACCTGAAGACACGGCTGCACAATTACTGCACAGCCTCTGCGTATATGCAGGTGCTAATGCTGCGCGGCTATGGTTTCGACGAGCGCTCCTTCCCGCGCGTGTCCTTCCAGAAAAAGGTGGGCGCTCTGTGCCGCCACAGTCTTCATATATAGGTCTGCTTGGCTGGAGTCTGCCATGCCATCAGAGTGTAAAACAAGACAATCATTTCAGAGGATCGGTGGGGGAAAAATCACGACAGCGTTATCAGCCTTGTTTAGCAACTAACATGATTATGAAATGATTGGACACTCCTAGCACGGTTGTAAATGCTTCTTACCCAAATGTCTTTGCAACAGCGTTTTAATAGATAATTGCATGTGAGGATTATGAAGTTCTATGGTTGTTATGAATAATAAGAGTATCTCATTGGGTGGAGCTGCTGGGTAGTTACTGTGTATCTGTGCCCGTGTTGTGCAGGTGGGGGACGCCTCCATCGGCTGGGCCCTGGGCTACATGCTGAGTCTGAGCAGCTTTCTGCCAGAGGAAAGCCTGGGAATCCGGAAGGCTCTGCGGCCAGAAGCCTGGGCTTGCCTGCTTCTTATGTTTGCTCTGCTCCTCTTCCTGATTTTGGGATACCTGCTGATGCAAGCCAGTCGGCATAAGAAGGGAAGCGCAGACATCATCTAATCACCATCATCTGCAGCATACACTCTAGCCAGCTCTAGGTATGTGCTGAGGACCATTATCTTAATAATGTACAGCACCACATTGGGCCTGGAGAGCCCTGGCATGATTTGTTTAATGTCTAATTTTTACTTATTCTTCCTAAATGACATAGCCGACAACATGGGTGTTTCTCAATACCAAGAACGCAAAGATCATACTTGTGGTCTTGGCAAAGCTGGTCTTGCTAACTTGGGGCGCAATGAATCATGAGATTGTCCCCGTTTAGCAAGGATGCAACTGGTGAGTCCTTGATATTTGGGGCGGTTTTTACTGACCTCTGTACTTCTGTTCTTAGTATTGGAACTGGTCTTCGGCAATGGAAGATGACGTAAAACGGGCGAGAACACAACTATGGTCAAGTACACATATTAAGAAACACCCCAAGTCAGGGCTGTTTCAAAGCTTTCTGCCTAAAAATGGAGGAAGGACACAAATGAAAGGTGAGGAGGATGTCTCCGTTGGACAGCAATGAAAGAGTATTAATCTGGTGCCATCAGGTGCGTTTTTGAAGACATGAAGGAGTTCCTAGAAATCAACTTTTTATATGTAGCACCTCAGCTAATGTTTGCAGCATTACTTGGCCCAAATTCAATAAGAATAAGAAAAATTTGTGCTATGATTAACATACAGTACCAATCAAAAGTCTAGGCACACCTGCTTTTAGTGCATTTGTCTCTAGATACGGCATTCACCTATAGTGAAAAGGTTTTACAGCAATGAAGTAATACATATGAAATATTGCAACACCCAAAAGAAATGTTCAACATCTCAAAATTTTCTCAAACTTTAGACTCTGCAATAGCCCCCTTTTGCTTCAATGACGGCATTGTTCTTTCAACCAGCTTCCACATGTAGCCACCTGCTTTCCCAATAGTCCTGAAGGAATTTCCATGGATTGTGGGCACAAGTTGGCTCTTCCTCTTTGATCCAACTCATCCCAAACCAGCTCTATAGGGTTTAGGTTGGGGGATTGTGGGAGCCAGGTCTCCTGTCGCAGTAATCCATCTCTCTCCTTGTTCACAAAATAATACAGTACTTAGATAACCTCAGAGTGTGCTTTGAGTCGTTATCTTGTTGAAAAACAAATGATTTTCAGACGGTGTGTCCAAACTTTTGATTAGTACTGTAAGTGTTTTATCTGACTGTGAGAACAAATCAGCTTTGACAAATACTTATTTTAATATTTCTTACCGGGATTCCCATGGTTTTTATCCTCTCACAGCCCAACAACACACGGTTACACAAATTGGTGTTTCTGAACAGCCTGTGTTTTTTGATTTTCTTGACTTCCCATCCAAGGCTCAACATGACTCTGTACTGGGTAGCTTTCATATGACACATGGCGCAATTAAAATAAAAGCCAACAGAGGCACTGAATGCAGCCTTTAAAATACCTTTTTTCGCTTAGCCTGCTAAATTCAGCTCCACTAAATAAGCAAATATTGGTATTAATGTGTGTCTTAATTAAAATACTTCTGTTTTTTCAATGTGATCATTTCATATTTTATTTTCATATTGTGTAGAATAAATAGTGAAAAGGCTGTCCATGGTCAAAAGAAAAAAACACCTGAACTCATAATTCAAGCATTATTCAGCATCATCAGCTGAAAACTGTCCATATGGGGTCAGGACCTCACAACTGGTGTAGTAAATGCACACAGTTTACACTTAACTCTGAAAACTGTAAATCTTTTTTATGTTTTTGTATCTGATATGAATTGGCAAAATCACTAGTTGTTAGTAAAAGTCATTTGGAAATATTTCTAGATACTTCATAACGTATTTCAGGTTTAATTTTCAGAATCATATTCACTGCATTAGTTACTTACAAGGGCATTCATATAGTATTACTAATCTCACATTATATTATTAAATTCACATTTAACTCAGCATTTTATGTACTGTGACCTCTGGAATCAGCATATTTACATTCTGGGTGTATATTTTATCCTGTCACGCTAATAAAACGCAGTTGCAGATCTAAAAAGTGATGTTTAGCTCATTTTTTTGTATTTTGTGCTCTAGCTTTGTTTTAACTCGATTACTAAATTGTACTAATTATGCACAAGAAAGGCTAATGAGGAAAAATGCCATACTTATATTGTCTATTGTACACTCCTTTTAAATAATACTTTTTTTTAAATAAATGTATTCAAAACAAAGTTGTATGGTTTTAATTACACAGTCGTGTTACAGTGTTGGAGACAGCACAGCGCTTTGCTGTGTGAAAGCATAGCCGCGGGGGGGTCAGTGCTGTGAAAGCAGCAGATGGCAATGCTAGGAATCGCCACAGGCCGCACCCTCACAAGAAAGCTGTCATGCCCTGCTCGTCTGATCCTCCTGTTTGCCACGCCCCCCTCATTTACCTCGTGTGGAATCCCGGTGTTCCCAGCTGCATCTAGTTGTTGTTAATTAGTCCTGTATATTTAAGTCCGCTCTCGAGTGTTTCCCCGTCCGGTCATTAACGCCGTGTTGTTGTTTTATGGTCTTGCTTGTTTCCGCTTTAATTAACAGACAGGTAAAAACACAAGCACGGGCACAAAGCATGAAACCAAAGCCAAATACAAAGCACAAGACACAGAGAATTGAAAATTCATACAAATGAAACACTAGGGAACAAAATACAATAATAGAGGAGGTAGGATTTGAACACATAACAGAGGAGTTAACAGGTAGCTGCATGCTCATCTTATTGAGCCATGCAGCTGACGGGGAACAGGGGAAACACTACAGACTAGTACAACGGGGGAAGACAGGATGGCCAGCAACACCTGCTGGCCAAACGGGGAGAAGACGCAAGACTGGGACAAAACGGGTGCTGACCCTGACAAAAAAAAATGTAAAATAAACACTAAGGAAAAAGAAAACCAGTAAATACAAAATAACAGACCAGATGACAAACCCATGACTAGAGGGGCAACTTCACAGTTAGCCCACTGAGCTATGCGGGGAATAGGGGAAACACACTAGGGATTTAAGCACACAGGGGCTGAAGGACAAGAGACAGGGAGGAGGACAGGGTGGCCAGTGACACCTGCTGGCCAAACGGGAAGAAGACAGGAAGGGCAGGGTCAGACAGGCGCTGACCCTGACAGGTAGTTTGTCAAATATTTTTAGAATCAGACATGAGTGGATTAACATAAAGTTAGATTCTTTTAGATTTGAAATCTGAAAAAAAAAACGGTTCAAAAGAACGAATGGGATATCATTAATAAGAACTCAACCTCACCCCTCCAGGTCTATACCTAATTAAAAGAACTGAAGACGTTTATGAAAATTAATAGATAAACTAATTCCGAAGACAATTCTTTTTGACCAGCAACAGTTCGCAAGTTATGTTACTATGAATGCCTATAAAAACACACCTGAGAGGTGGACTCACAAAACAAGCTGGATGTTTTTAGGCCTGCTACTTTACTACTAAAGTACAGTACTTGCGTTTTCTCATCCGTTAATTCTGTCGATCGTTACTCGGGTTCATGGGCGTCGCCGCCATTAAATCTGAGGGGGTCGTGGCCTCTTCACATTTGTGAAGGACCCCCCTACATTTGACATAAAATATTAGTTTTATGCCAGTGTCCCCCCATTCAAAATGCTTCTGACGCATTTTATAACAAACTGAATACTGTTTTCCTATACTCAGTACAAATTAAATTTCATGCCTTAATCAATAGTAAATATAAAATATATATATAAGCACAGTTTTACTATAATTATGTTGAATATTGAAGAGTTCTCCAAAAATTCATTCAGTAACGTGATTTAAATCTGCACTACAATGAAATCTGTTACGCCCCGTTAATTTCAGACTTCAGACAAAACACAGCGGCCAGTCAGGCGTGTGCCTCACATGACGCTGTCGCCCCTCCAGTCCACTAGGTGGCGGTATGTCCTTCATCACATCATATTTGCTATTGACAAAGTAGAGATTCTAGAGAGAGAGAATCGTTGGGACCACGATGGCTGCTGCGCGACTGGCAGCTGTGCCTGCAGTTGATATCGACCCCAGTGGCGTATTTAAATACGTACTTATTAGAGTCCGTAGTACTGAGGAAGGCAACGACTCAAGTGTAGATATAGTTCGAGGTTATTCTTGGGCAGAATATCACGGTAAGATGCGGGGGAATAGTTATTTGTGTACACATGCTCGCTGCCTGTATGAGCTCTGGCGAACTGCTTGAGGTTTTCCAGCTGTTCAGACATTGGACCAATGGTAATATTAGCAGACTAAATACGTTTAGTGAGCGTTTGTGTTCATGTACAAATTTGACTACATCGCATGCTGTCAGCCAGCTGTAGAGTACATTAAACTTAAAGTTACTGCTCAGCTAGAGTTTGTTTTACAAACAGCATGTCAACGATGGTTAGCAAGTTAACTGCGTCCGCTTAACAGTAGGCAGTGCAGTTTTGCCAACATTGATCAGCTGGCTGGCGTGAGATTTCCAGACAAGTCTTCACACGCATTTACATGTAACAGTTTTACTACCTTGTAAATAGTATGTAGAGTTTGCAAACTATCCCAACGCTTTTGATGTGGCTAATTTTAGGTTTATAATATAATGATATAGATTTGCCGTCAGATTTCTTGCGTGATCGTGAGAATCAGAAAGCGTTTAGTGTCACGCCAGATGCGTGAGAGTTGGCAACAATCTGCTCTCTTTTAGGGCGCTAATGTGTGTGCCGTGCATACAAATCATGAAGTAAGTGGTTTGATGGATGGGCAAACGTCCATCTCCTAACCGCTTATCCAGTTATATTGGATATTTCGATATCCAATTGGCTAAAACTCCATTCATCCATACATCCACCCACCCACCCAAGGAAAACTCATGGAGTGGATGCCAGTTCATATAAAGTTCGTATCGTTTAATTTGCTTTACTCAGTAGTGTTTCGCTATGTTTGAATGTTTGCCCTATCTAGCTGATATATACGACCACGTTACAGCTGAGCTGGAGAAGGGAGGGGATTTGGACTGCGAGTGTTTAGGAGGGGGTCGGATCAATCATGACAGCCAAGCCAGGAAGATCCATGTTTATGGTTACTCTGTGGTGAGTTGCCAGGGAAGTATTGGGTGGGGTAGATTAAAACATTTGAAAGTGATAATGTAAGATGCTTCTTAGAATAAGCCGATCTCATAATTTAAATGGTAAGACAATTTAAAGCCAGGGTATGAGTAAGTGTATGCAGCAGATTTGCTGAGCATGTTGTCTCTAGAGTGGCTGATCTGATCTAGAGAAATTGTGGTCTTTCTGGGACGATTGATTTGTCTGCTATATTATGTCTGGCATTTTATTTATTTACTTTATTTTAGTTTTTTAGGGTATAGGTAAGGATTTTGTGTAGATCTGTAGTTTTGAATCTGGAGACTCACACTGCTGTTACTTATTGGTTTCTGCATTTCTACAGACTGGATTTTACATTATCTACACGTTTGTTTTCCTCCCTTCTCTTCTAGGGGTTTGGAAGGGCAGAGCACTCGATTTCTACAGAGAAGCTGAAGTCTAAATATACAGACTATGAGGTTACATGGTCTAATGAGGGATACTGATCGCGATGGCATGGCTGTCTGAGGCAAACACAGAGTACATCTGAAATGAAATGACTTGCCCATCTTTTCAGATTGTAAAGCAGGGTTACATGGAAGCGAGGTCTGGAGAACCCGGCAAGTCGATTCTAAATTTGACTGTTTCCCCTGTCAGGTTAACATTTTTCTTATCCAGCTTTAGACATTAATCCCCCACAGATTTCAAAATGTGTTATTTATTTGTCTAGTTTGTTAACAGCCTAGTAAAAGTAACATAAGCCAGGGTCAGAGTTGACTTCTTGTAACATTTTTTATTTGAATAATCGTGTTAAGTTAATACCATCTTGATATGTTATCATTGGATTTACATTGTTTACAAAAGTCCATTATGGGACAAATTGTTTAAACCAATAAAAGAAAATGTTCACTAGCTTGAATTCATGTTTTGTTTATTTGCGTTTAGAGATTTTGTTGTTTTTACTGCATCTTTACCCTCATATCTGCAGTGATTTTTTCACAAGTGATTTTATTTTATATTTGTTATTTTATATTTATTTTAATTCTTCAGCCTTGATGCTCCGTGTGATAACATACAGGTCAATCACTTTTTCTTTGGTCTTTTTGCACTGTCAAACATTTTTCAACAGTGGGACTCAATACTCATCTGTCACTATTATTGGAAAAGCTTAGAGACCATAGAGTACTGTGCAGAAGTCTTAGGCAGTCAAAAGAAAAGCTATTTGGGTAGTAAGTGCACATTTGCTCAGAACAAAAAACACAATTTAACATTAGAACATATGCAATATGAGTAACACCATAAAAACTAGTAAAAAAATAAAAAGTTACTGATATCTAGTTGGACGGCTAGATGAACACGGCTTCAGTTCCCAAACCTCTCCTCAGGGGCACCACAGCCATTCCATGTATTTGTTAGGTTTCACCACCAGCTCAACTTAATTAGCTAAAAAGGCAACGAGATGTTTAAACATTTTCTTTGGCTGCCTAAGAACAATTAAATGGGAGTATTTTTGGGCAATATGTAAGCCAAAATCTCTAAATAATACTGAAAATTATTTGGATCACATAAAATAGTAAAATATATAAATATTAGTTTTATTTAATATTTGTTTTTGTAAGCATATGCTATGTCTTTAATATTAAAAGTTATTTTCAGTGAACTGTGGTATCTGCATCTTGGCTTGTGTACGCCGCATCTCTGTCTTGGTGTCCAGCCTCACTCACATTAGCTGTCTTTGTAACTGTGGAATCTAATAATGGCTCCATAACGTAGTGCTCCCAGTGCATAGGCTAATGATGTCATTTTATATATTCATTGTAATTTAACTGGCTTGTATATTTTTTAAAAAGGTCTCTAAGATGTGTACAGTATAGTGCTGTTTATTTAGAAATTGGTAATAAATAGACATGTCATCGTTTACGCTAGCAGACTCAAGAACTGTTCGTGAATTTTCACATTCACAAGGATCTCCTGCCCTGAGCCCTCGTGAATGTGAAGGGCTTTACTGTATATTATTACTGTATAATATAGTTCTGCCTAATTATGAACTTGTAGCTGAAATACAAAAGTACTATATAAGTAACATGATGGGTGTTTGTTAAAATATGTCAGAGAACAAAATACACAGAGCAGGTTTCATTGTAGTATAAACAGCTTTTCAGAAATAAACTGGAATAGTCACCAAAATACAATTTAAATCCTCATATGACATTTCTAAAGAATTTGCAAAATGGTCATTGATAGGCCTAGCTCAGGGGTGGCCAATCTTATCCGCAAAGGGCTGGTGTGTTTGCAGGTTTTTGGGATAACCTGTAGGTCAGCTGTTCAAACCCAAGTGTGAGGACTCTTCAGCCAATCAGCCCTCTAATTAGTTACCTAATTAGGGAGTTGCAGCGAAAACCTGCATACACACCGGCCCTTTGCGGATAAGATTGCCCACCCCTGGCCTAGCTGATTTGACCTGTGTTGTGTGCTACAGAGGGTGCACTGTTTCTATAAGTGCAAGTCTTTCAGTCAAATATGTATTATTATTTTAATTTGGGATAAGACAAGAGTTTTTGAGGACACATACAATTCCACTTTATTGTTCATTGTGTAACTAACATTTAGTTTTAGAGGTGTAAAGTGACATATTTTGTTACTGTAATTAAGTAGAATTTTTTTAATTGGTCTTTACTTGAGTATTTTAAAATGTTACTTGGGCCAGCATGTGGCTCAGTGGTCTAAGCCTCTATGCCTGTGATCAATAGGTTGCCGGTTTGAGCTCAGCCTTGGCACATCTGCAGGTACTTGAGCAAGACCCTTAACCCCCAACTCCCTGAGCTCTGCTTTGGGTGACTGCCCTTCACAGCCAGATAACTCTCACCTACAGAGAGGAAGTAGGGGGAGGTATAAAGAGAATTTCCCCATGAGGAGCAATAAAGTATCTATTATTGGTACTTTTACTTTCACTTTGCTACATTTTGCTTGAGTTCTATTTTACTGCATGACTTTTACTTTTACTCGAGAAACATTTTGGTGTGGTATCTGTATTTTGAAGTTCAAAATTAAGTACTTTTTCCACCACTGAGTTTTCTCTGTCGGTTAAGAACAGAAGATTATGTTGAATATTGTGCGGATAGGCCTACTTGGACAGAGGATCCAATGTCGTCAGCCTCGTATTCCAGAGTGAGGGGACTGTTTATGCAGACGCACACGCAGGAAGTGTGTCGCATAGATAGCTCTCCCCCTTCCCTGTGCATTTGGAAGCGGGATAATTGGAGAATTAAATTGTATGTGTGTAGAAAAAAAAAACTAGTAAAATGTTTGCGGGATTACCAGAACTTGGAATTTCCAACGGCGAAGATCTAAAAGAAACTCTCACCAACTGCACAGAGCCTCTGAAAGCAATCGACCAATTTCAGGTGTTTAGCTAAGATACAGAAATGAATTGTCTTTGGTTTGTAACTAATTAGATTTGTTTTGATTAGTCTGCTGTTACCATTGCGAACGATGCTGGCGGCCGAGCGGACCTTTGTATCGTATGCCTGGGAGAATATTATGACATGTTGCGAACGTTTCATTGTGGTGTATCCTGCTGGTTAAACACAGCATGCTGAAATGTAACTTTAGCTAGCTATGTTCGGATTAGGCTGTAAACCTGTTTGCCAAGCCGTTGTCTTTAGATGCTGTTTAAAATTTTAATGCCCCTATAGCTACCTGTAGGTCGTCGTTTCGAAATATTTTAAGTAATTTTGCCGCCGATTTGTAACACTGCATTTTTTGCTGACATATAATATAGTCTACAAAACTTACAAAAGGGACTGGTGGTTTTGCAAAAAAGTAAACTTGACAAACTGTAACTACATTTCTAACTGTCTCTCTGAAATTAGACTTTTCAACGTTTTTTTGGTTGAAAAGTGTCAAAATGCCGTGGAAGTGGAAATGTTCTATCAGTCTGCAACTCTGACAAGTTTATTATGCTAAAACGTTTCTCCTTCGTCACACGTGAGAAACGGTGCCATGTTTTGCAGTTTTAGTGACTCGTTTTCAAGATTACTTTTTTAGAAGCCAGTGTACAGTTTGCCGCCGCTATTTTACATGCGCTCTCCAACACCATCATGGTCATTCTCTCCTTGCTGTCGGATTCACTCTGTGGGGAACTAAAAATACGTGAAGAGGGGGAAGCGAACCAGAACCGGGCTGAGTTTCTCGGATCCTTCTTAACGCCTCGTCATTCATAAGTTCAGTCTTTTGACACAGAACTTGGGAATGACTGTAGCGTTATGAAGGCTTCGGGAAACCAAGCCCTGCTCACTAAAGGGCTTCCGTCTTCAACCTCATGGAAACGATGCGGTTAAAAATGTTCTGGGAAATTCGTTGTTGGTGAAAGTCGCAAAAAAAAAGATTGTATTTTCATTGAGTGAACTAGAATGTGACATACAAACTTAATGACGTTGTATTTGGCCATAGTTCTTGGGTAAATTTTCAACCCCTTATTTGTTTTATAAATACAGCAAAAAATTTAATATCGCAATATGATGATTTCCCCCAAATTCTAGGAATATTCTTGTTAATTCCCATACTTTCCCGTTAATTCCCATGGAAAGTTTCTAATGTGGAATATTTCCAAAATTCCCCAGCTTAACTTCCCATGGAACGGAAAGTTTCAGGAAAATTTCCAGAAATTTTCCAGCCCTTTGCAACCCTACCCCCCGATAAAGTTCAGTCCTACCTTGGTCATCAAAAAATTTATAACCGCAGGAAAAACAGTAAATTAATTATGGATAATATTGTAATCTGTGCTGTGTTACATCTAGACAGAGAATGGCATCTTATTGCCCACACTTCAGTCGGCGCTGCCCTTCCTGGACCTCCACGGCACACCCCGACTGGAGTTTCACCAGTCTGTCTTCGACGAGCTTCGGGAGAAGCTGATGGAGCGTGTGGCCACTATCGCGGAAGGGAAGGAGGAGGACCGGTGAGCCGTCAGCTTTTATAACAATGCTGAAATGCCTTTAATCTGACAGCCTGGGGTTGTTCATTGGTTTTCTTATTTGTTACTCAGATATGTGAAGCTGGAGGAGCTGCTGGAGAAAAGTTTTCCTTTGGTCAAGATGCCGTCCATCCAGCCAGTGGTCATGCAGGTGATGAAACACCTGCCCAAGGCAAGTGCTCTTTCTCAGGGTATTTAAACAGGGATGCAGTGATCAGGTCCAGAAAGTACAAATCCAGACCAAGGTTTTGTTTCAACCAACCAATTGAGTATAAAGACTCAGAGTTACAGAGTACACAACTGGTTGGTTGAAACAAAACCTTGGTCTGGATTTGTTCTTTCTGGACCTGACATTTCCACCTCTATATAAAGTGGATTCTATAATGAATCATGTCAAGTACTCGCAGTCAATGGTATCTCCTGCTGTGGCTAATTTTTTCCTTTGGCTGCTCTTCAGGTACCAGAGAAGAAGCTGAAGCAGGTGATGGCAGATAAGGAGCTGTACAAGGTGTGCGCCGTGGAGGTGAAGCGGCAGATCTGGCAGGACAACCAAGCCCTGTTCGGGGATGAGGTGTCCCCGCTGCTCAAGCAGTACATCGTGGAGAAGGAGGCGGCGCTGTTCAGCAGTGACCTCTCTGTGCTTCACAACTTCTTCAGCCCCTCGCCTAAGACACGCCGACAGGGAGAGGTCAGCCTTCAGCTTTGGATGTGCTTTGGTTCCGTTTGGGCCAACATGTCTTTGTATTTTTGATCTTCAGTATGGTGTCTCATTGGAGAGTGATCTAACAGTTTTGTGAGAGCAAGAGTGGAAGATTGTGGGGCCAACAGATTGTCTGATGAAACTATACTGTATTCCGTGACTGACGTGAGCTGGTATGTTGGGTTTGTTAGCTGTCCCTCGCGTTCGGTCTGGCTCACATCGCTCCCGGCTTCCCCGCAGGTGGTGCAGAAGCTTACGCAGATGATCGGGAAGAATGTGAAGCTCTATGACATGGTCCTGCAGTTCCTACGCACTCTCTTCCTGCGCACGCGCAACGTCCACTACTGCACGCTGCGCGCTGAGCTGCTCATGTCGCTCCATGACCTGGACATCAGCGAGATCTGCTCTGTTGACCCATGCCACAAGGTTGGTGTGATGCCCCCTCAGGCTCAGTGCGGTCGGACAAAACAAGCTGGGAAGCACAAGATGCATGGCTTAACCAACAACATTCTATTCTAATAATGTGTTTTACCAGCAAGTTACCACAAAGGACCATAGATAAATTTACTGAAATGGCTGCACTCAAATACTAAAGTGAACAAGTTTCAAGGGAATCATTGAGCCCGATGAAAGCTGCAGAATCCTGCCATGAAGTTGACTTAACTAGAGTGATCTGTGATTGTTCTCTCTTAGCTTTGTGCTTTAATCAGTGTAACCCTGACTCTACTTCTCCTCATTGTTAGTTCACCTGGTGCTTGGATGCCTGCATCCGAGAGAAGTTTGTGGATGCCAAGCGAGCCAGAGAGCTGCAGGGTTTCCTGGATGGAGTCAAAAAGGGTCAGGAGCAAGTGCTGGGGTGAGTGGAGCAGGGTAAGGGGTGGGGGGGGGCGGCATTTGTGCCAGTCAAACACCATGGACATCACTATAAAATAACAGCACAAAGCCAGATGTTATCATATGACTAGGTTAAGCTTGAATATCAGTAATATTTATTTGCATTTTTATCTTCTTAAAGGCTCTGGTCTAAGATGAAAGAATTAACCGACAGGTACCCGTATGTTCTTCCAGGGACCTGTCTATGATCCTGTGTGACCCGTTCGCCAGTAACACCCTGGTGCTGAGTCTCGTCAGGAATCTGCAGGAGCTGCTGGGGCAGGACGCTTTACCCAGGGTGAGGGAGTAGAGGGAGGCTCAGTCGCGGCACTGATGTGGCACGGATGCAATGTGTTGAGGTTTTGGATTAATTTGGTGTGTGTGTGTGTGTGTGTGGGTGTGACAACAGGACAGTCCAGACCTGCTTCTGCTTCTGAGGATGCTGTCACTTGGCCAAGGAGCGTGGGACATGATTGACAGCCAGGTGTTCAAAGAACCTCGCCTGGTACGTACTCATCAGAGGAGCGTGTCCTTGGGGAGTCCTGTAATCAACCTTGTCCAACAAAGCGGTCGTCTCTATAATCCTGTCTGGTAGTTTCCCCTGTTAGCTTGTTATATTACTGAAGCATCCATCCATCCTCCCCTCTCCTTTTAGGACCTGGAAGTGGTGACGCGCTTCTTGCCTGCGATGTTGTCGGTGGTGGTTGACGACTACACTTACACTGTAGAGCAGAAGCTCCCCAGCGAGGAGAAGACGTCCCTGATCTATCCCAGCAGCCTGCCGGACGCCTTCAACAGGTACCATGTAGGGGAAAGGCGGGTCCTGCAGCATCTGCTTGAAAACTAAGCCTGTTCTTCAAATTGTGGTTGCTGCTCCTTTGATGTATAGTCAAGCTGTATTTGCAGTTAGAAAGCAGTAATCAGATGCGTGTTTAGACTTGTTTTTTCCTAATGCACTTTAGGTATCTTCAGGAGAACAGAGTTGCGTGTGAGATGGGCCTGTACTATGTTCTTCACATTGCAAAGCAGAGAAACAGAAATGCTCTGCAGAGGTTGCTGCCCGCGCTGGGTGAGTAGATGCTGAGATGCTGGTGTCACGTCACGAATGTCTTCAGCTCTTAGATCTGCACAAATGTCTGTTGAGATTAATTTGTGTTCAAAATGGGAAAAAGATGCAGTTTGTACGCTGTGTTTTCTGCTTGAAGGCCTGATTTCCCAAAAATTGTGTGAAGTTGTAAAATAAGTGTTAGTCCTGGAATATTTCACTGCTGACTCCCATCTTGGTTGGGGTGTTGCTGGATGCCCGCCCCTAACCCTAACCCTAACCCTGGGGTAGATGCGAGCATGACCTCCCAGGGCAGCTCTCTGAAGCTCGTGCCCGTCGATGTCCCCTTGCAGTTGAAACCTATAATGACACGGCTTTCGGGGACATATTCCTGCACCTGCTGACGGGGCACCTAACCCTGCTCTCCGACGACTTTGGCACGGAGGAGTTCTGCTCTGCCGTCTTCGACAATTTCCTCATGACTTCTTTCTCAAGGTATGACACATTTTTCCTTAAGCCATTGCAGCGAAGGGAGGTGGATCTTTAAACCCGTCACGATTTGCTTAAACGGCGGTTTCCCTTTTCCTGCTCCGTCCTGTTCCAGTAAGGAGAACGTTCACCGGCACACGCTGCGCTTGCTGCTGCATCTGCACCACAAGGTGCTGCCATCTCGCCTGGAGGCCCTGGTGAAGACCCTTGAGCCCCCTAAGCAGGTCAGCCTATGCCCAGTCTGACAGTGACGTCACTCAGCAGTTTGTGACTTTCTTTTTTTTTTTTTTTTTTTTAAACTAATTCTATAGCTGAATTACTTTAGTTAGCTAATATCAAAATGTCTCGCATTCTATTAAAAAAAAAAAAAACTCATTACTCCTAAATTACTAGTCTCATAATCTAGAAATATAGCATTTTTGTTTTGTTTTTGCTGGGCAAAAGTCTTAGGCAGTTAAAATATTTTAATGACCCTTCATGTTGGTGTAAGACTGATATTATGTGTCAGAGTGTTAACTTAGCCATTTTATAACCTCTCTTAAAGTATTTGCAGCAACCGTCCAATATAGCATTTTTTTGATAAGACCACTAGCACATCTTGTGTGGCTAATCAACACCCCCACAGGCTTTTTAAACCAGTTTAACCAATTAAATGAGCTGGTGGTGAAATTTAATAAATACATGGAATGGCTGAGGTCCCCATGAGGAGAGGTTTGGGAACTGAAGCCGTGTTCATCTAGCCGTCCAACTAGATATCAGTAACTTTTTGGCTGTTACTCTGTTACTTTTTTATTATTAGTTTTATTTATTGTTACCCTTAATTTGCATATGTTCTCATGTTAAATTGTTTTTTTGTTCTGAATATACACTTACTACCCAGATAAATAGCTTTAAGCATTTACTCCATTCCCAATACGTATGTCCATATAGTGTACCTTCTGTGGTAGGTTTTTTTTTTAAATAAGGTATTTCTGTTATGCTAACAATCATGGCTTGTGTGGGCAGCCTTGACGGCTGGCTCTGTACAGTTTGTTCAAAAGGCCCCATGTGCTACTGCATTGAGTCTTGTATACAATGGACCCCTTCTGCATCGCGACCTTCCACATTGCAGTCGCACTTAATCCTCATCACTTCCCCGTCACATTTTCAGCATAAGCAATTAAATGGGATTTTTTGGGGAGTTTTGCAAAAGCCGCAGACACACAGAGTTTAGTAACTCTTAAATGTATAATATATCTACACTGCTGGTTTGGAGGACGCCAAACGTGCTTATAGCAGCCTGTCACGTGATACTTCACAATGATCTTTATATCTCGCGTTTCTGGTATCTCTTTGCTTTGGTTCGCTCCCCTCGCCAAGGGGACCAGAAGGTTTTAGGTGTTTTTTCCAGATGGCGGGGGGCCTGTGCCCTTATCCCCCGTGATAGGAAAGGGTCAGCTGTATGTCCTTAATGTCACCTTGGAGATGTACCTGTCTGTAAAGCCTGCCCATTGAATTGTGGCCAGTGATGATTGATAACTAGTGTGCTGTTTGTGTCCACAGAGCAGTGACCCTGTAAAAGAGCTGTACACCCAGCTGGTGGAGAAGCTGGAGGCTCAGAAGAAGAGCCCTCCACAGCCTGCTGAAGCTCCCACGCTGGACCTGGGCCTCCACCCTGTCACAGTGCCTACCCCCACCTCCGCTCCCAGCACGCCCCTGTGAAAGAGGGCAGGCCTCCTGGCTCAGGGAGCTGTTCTGTGTGAAAGAGGGCAGGCCTCCTGGCCCAGGGAACTGATCTGTGTGAAAGAGGGCAGGCCTCCTGGCCCAGGGAACTGTTCTGTGTGAAAGAGGGCAGGCCTCCTGGCCCAGGGAACTGTTCTGTCCACCCTGATTCCCATGTGCACGCATTGACCTTTTATAGTTCTGTATATAGATCAGTTTAATACAAAATAGCGTTCTTTAAAGGAGCACGAAAATCTATATATAACTGGTCACAGCTTAGTGCTTCCTTCTCATATTTTAAAACATGAGGTACCATGCTTTAAAATAGTGCTTAAAGACCAACATTGGAATGTGTAAATTTTTTAACAAAACGCAGTCTATCTGCATAACTGTACAAGTTTCACAGTATATCGTCCTTTATTTTTGACTGAATGTGATTACCTGTGTTGGTTGTGTGTAATAAAACAAACTGTAAATAAAAGATTTGGTTAGGATATGGCTGAACATAGTAGTCATTTTATTTTAATGTGTCTATGCTGGTCTTCGTTAATATGCTTTAATTCAGTAGTAACACACTATTAGTTGAAATAATCCTTTGTTGTAAGGTCAGGTCACGCTGGATCACACGACGAAACACCTCGGGATCCCGGTTGTCAGTCCCCCAGCCTGACATGCAGTCCAGCCAGCGTCCCGTTAGTCTGGTCCAGCCACTCGGGTCCACAGCAATGAGGATCCTGCGAGCCAGATCATTCTCCGGGAATCACGCCTCATGGCTGTAGTGCCGTAACTGACGCTCCCTCAGAATGCAGGTCATGTGCCTGATTCAAGACTGCCTGAGCAACTGCACGTTCATCACAAAATCAAACCAGCGGTACCCAAGGATTCTTCAAAGAGACACGGTACCGAAGGAGTCCAGTCTTCATCTCAGCTCACTGCATAGCGTCCAGATCTCACAGCAAGACAGGGAGCACCAGGACTCTAAAGACCTGGACCTTCATCCTCTTGCAAAAATATCGGGAGCACTGTACACCCCTTTCCAGTGACCTCATGACCCCCATGCTCTCACAATCCGTCTGCTGACTTCATAGGAAGAGTCACCAGAGGCATGAATTTCACTGCTGAGGTAATTGGACCTCGACGAGGCTGAGATTCTCTCCACAGACAGACGCACTGCTGACCACAGACCATTAATGTTATTTACCCCCAGTTAGCTGAAAATGGATGTAGTCTGTGTTTGGTGTCTCATTATCACTGTACTTGTAGAGAGAAACCCTAATGGAAATTAGCCTTGCCTTTCTTGACATAAAAATGGTGTATAAAACATTAATGTGTAATAGGCAGACTCATTTTATTTATTTTTGATAAACCAGGAAAACAAATATTTCACATATAAATGATTTGTTCCTTAACAAAGGATAACCAAAGGAAAATGATGAAATAGGAACTAGGACTAACATATACATTTATTTTGTAAATAGACTGCAGAATATATGCGATTAAAGTGATTATGGAAAAAAAAAATCATATGAACAACCTTTATTAGCTGCACGACAGTGACATTATTATCTGGATTATCTAAATTCTTACTTTTCAGATGTGTACCTTGCATTTTTCCTCATGTGGCATTTTCGGAATTTAGCAGGAAGATTTCTGTGTGGCTTCCAGGTGGTAGTGAGCCGGACTGCTTGGTCTCTTTCAATAAGGATGAATCTGAAAAGTTGTGTCTCATTAAGCCTGATATATAAAGCTTATCATACATTATCATCCACCATTTGAGCTAATCTGCTAGGCTTACCAATTTGCACATCTAAAATCCATGAGTGTATCACCTCTCCCATCCACATGTCTGAAATGCAGCAATCTCTTCTGTGGGCAATAGTGCTAATAGTGATAAAATCTTCATTATGGCTCTTTGCACATGTACCTTATGTATGCAAATTAGGGAGTGTAAGATTCACAGATTGACATCAGTGCACTGGCATGAATCATCGTGATGTGATTGCCCCGATTCAAATAGTGTGCACCAGATACAACTTGGGATGAACTCAGGATACATTGTTTGCAACATGATTGTCATATTTCTAAATATTCATACTAATATTTTACTGATGAAATGTTTTGCTATGCAATTCAATATGGTACAGATACAGAAGAAGTTTACAGAGAGAGAGAGTCAATCTAAATACAGAATTATTGTACAAAAATGCTTTGTCATATTTCTAAATATTCATACTAATATTTTACTGATGCAAAGCATTTTTGAACAATAATTCTGTATTTAGATTGTAAACTTCTCTGTAAACTTCTTCTGTATCTGTACCATATTGAATTGCATAGCATCTTATTCTTTTGCATTGAATCATGTTGCATTGCATCACATTGTGTTGAATCAAATCCTGTTGAAACTCACTACATCAAAAGAGGGGTGAATCATCACATATCACATTATTATCGCATAAATATTCAATACTTCGTCATAGAAAATAGATTGGTACCTGAGAAATACTTCATGATAAGAAATGTTTTGCTATAGACTCAGCGGCCACTTACAGGAGTTGGACAATAAAACTGAAACACCTGGCCAACAGTGTTTGAGGTTTCACGCCTATATATGCATGGTCTGGTGACCAAACGTCACTGATTGCTCGTACTGATGGAATGTGCAGAGTGTGAAGGTTGAATTAGCAGAGCAAAAGCACAGCTGTACGCAAAATATTGCAATCCACACAACATAATGGGAGACATATCAGAGTTCAAAAAAGGGCAAATTGTTGGTGTGAGTCTCGCTGGTGCATCTGTTACCAGGACAGCAAGTCTTTGAAGTGCATTGAGAGCCACAGTATCCAGGGTAATGTTGGCATGTCACCACGAAGGACGGACCACATCCAATAGGAGTAACTGTGGATGCGAGAGGAAGCCGTCTGAGATGGATGCCCAGGTACCTGGATTATATCCAAAAATCATAAAACCACAGCTGCCCGACTCACTGCAGATTTAAATGTGCGCCTCAATTTTCCTGTTTCCATCAAAACTGTTCATTGGGAGCTTCACAGGGTCAATATTCATGGTCGGGCTGCTATAGCCAAACCTTTGGTCACTCATGCCAATGCCAAACGTCGGTTTCAATGGTGCCAGCAGGGCAAACCTTGGGCTGTGGACAATGTGAAACATGTATTGTTCTCTGATGAATCCGCCTTATGGTTCACCACCTGGACTGTTGCCTACCCAGAGTGCAGCACAGAGATAGATCAGTGATGGTTTGAGCTGCAACATTCTCAAGGCCCACAGCTTCTTCTAGATGGGTGTGTCACTGCCAAGGACTATACAGCCATTCTGGAGGACCATGTTCACCCAGTGGTTCGAATATCGTACCCTGAAGGTGGTGCTGTGTATCAGGATGATACTGCACCCATACACAGCAAGACTGGTGACTGAGTGGTTTGAAGATCATGAAACTGAAGTTGAACATCTCCCATGGCCTGCGCAGTCACCAAATCTGAATATCTTGAGCTACTTTGGGATGTTTTGAAGGAGCGAGCAAATGTTTTCCTCCACCAGCATCACTGGTCACTGATCTTCAAGAGAAATGACTCAAAATTCCTCTGGCCTTGTGCTGGACTTGTATCTGTCATTCCCAAGATGAACTGATGTTGTATTGGCCGCAAAAGGAGATCCTACACCATACTAATAAATTATTATTGCTAAAATGAGGTGTTTCAGTTTCATTGTCCAACCCCTCTAGTTAGGTGCACCTGCCTGGTTCGTGGTGGAACCCTCATGCCTACAAAACAGCTTGAATTCCCTGAGGCATGGGTTGAACAAGAGACTGGAGGCTTTCCTTTGGTGTTTGACCCCTTTGTACATGTGACCATCCTGTTGGCTTTAATGAGTCTGGTCTGTCTCCTCTGACTGTCTCTGTGCACCCCAGGGCTATTCAACTCACGGTCCTCGAGGTCCGAGCACTGCTGATTTTCCAGCATTCCTTCACCTGTGAGGCAGGTGTGAAGCCTCTGACCAATCAGAATCAGTAATTATTAAACTAACTACCTGGGAGAACTGAAAATAAGGCCTGGATTTGGAATTGAGGGCCTGAACTGAACAGTCCTGCTGTACCCCAGCAAACTGGCCACTGGGTGTATTAGCAAAATATCTGTGCTGCCACAAAGCATAACCATTGGCTTTTTCATTTGACCAAAAATGTCATTTTAGGTAGATAGCAGAAGTAACAACAAATGTGCTCAGAAAAGCAAGCATCAAACGTAATGCTGCACACCTGCATGTTCCTGGCCACTGCACACCTGCATGTTCCTGGCCACTGCACACCTGCATGTTCCTGGTCACTGCACACCTGCATGTTCCTGGTCACTGCACACCTGCATGTTCCTGGCCACTGCACACCTGCATGTTCCTGGCCTTTGCTTCTGAGAGAGCCACACTGACCTCCATGTCGGGTCCTGCAGCGTCCCCTTGTGAAAATGCCGAAATGCTGGGAATTCATGTCACTGCTGCAGCTCTTCTCCAGCCCAGCATCACCCCGCCCTGCAGGTGAGTGAGACAACAGATGCTTCAGAAATCAGCTTTTCCCTTTGCAGCTTACATGATCTCCGACACTGAAAAGATCATGCGGTCGTGAATTATTGAGACTCAGCAAGACTCTGTGAATGAGGCAGCTATAAAGAGTTACACCCCTTACCTGGAGCAAAGCCAACGCACTGCAATATGCACGGACCATGTAAGCCCGCTGTGATTGAAGTTTTCAAACTATCACACAAAGAATTATGGTTATTTTCATAGCATTTCGATACAACATTTACAGTTCTGTTTCCAAGATTTCTGTCATCACTTGACTACACTCCTTACAGAAAGAGAGTGCTTCAAATAGCCTGTCTATAGAAAATTATGAAAACAGAGTGCTAAAATGTTTAAAATAGAAAAGGGCACCTTTCTAACAGTTAATAACTGTCTTAAGAGTTAAAATGAACAGTGCATTGTTCATATTTATATCTACCATAATGTCCTTCTCTTCAGTGGGATTTTTCTGCTCTGCATTGGCTGGTTTAATGGCTCGGTGCTGCCCCCGCTGGATTGATAGTTTTCATGCTTCATGCTGTTCCGCAGCCTACTAGCCTTTGAATCCTGGGAATGCTGAGTCCGGGCAGTGGTGACCCGGGATGCATGGGAAGCCTGAAGGATAGGTAGGTAGGTCAACTGGTGTCTTAGTGATTTACATAAACATCGTCAAGGGAAGGTGAATTATATCACGCACCATACCCAGAATGCTGGGCTGGGTCTCCGTGATGGGGATTTAAATCTGTGGCAGCTTTTTGTCCTCTCAGACAAATCCCACCCTGACATTTCAGTGCTCCACCATTTCTCTGCATTCACCGTCCCCAGCCTTTGAACGCAGAAAACATCTAGTGTAGTCCATAAGGTACTACGACATTCAGCACAGCAAGGGGAACCTTTTGGAAAACAGCCTGAGAATTTCAGGCTGGGGACTAAAAATTATTCCAAAATATTGTAGTTCATCAATAGTTCATATTGTACATCAAAAATGTAACCATTATATGTTCCCAAGGACAATATTTTATACAAAGAAGCAAACTGCAAAATAATATACTATTTAGTTCAAGTACGGGCGGCCTCCTTTAACCCTAAAAGATGTCTTTTCTGTTACCTTGGATAGACTGCAAGCTGAGACATACTTTCGTTTGACCGTTTTGGTCTGAGATTCCCAGGCTTACTTCTTATTGAACTTTTTGTCTGTTTGAAAAGAACAAATGATTCAAAGTATTTATACTCCATGCAACAGTTAAAAGGAAGATTTGAAGCTAATCTGTTACAACTTGAATTGAAATTTTGATCATATGATAGTGATAGCAGCATACAGCCAATCTCCAATGCATTAAACAACTTTTACATGTAATACTCTTCATCCAAGGCTGAATGATGTGCTGTTGCATTTTCCCAGGTGTGAAACTTGGACATTAGAAGTTATTACGACAGATCCATCCATCTTCCTACCACTTGTTCTGGTCAGGGTCACTGGGATGACAGTTTGCAGTTTCTGTAATTGATTCATAATTAATACTTTGTGTAGGTTGTATTTAATCTCTTACCTGTTTTTTCGTCAGTTTAGCAAATTCGCTATTCTCCATATTCACTCCTGTGATTCCAGAATCTGTCGTATGCATGGCCTTCCCAATGCATCTCACTAACTCCAGGGCTTGGCTGGAGTCCTTCGTGGGTGACAGTGGAGCTGACAATTTCCATAACGCCGACATTTTAATCTGCAAGGGAGTTTTTCAAGGTTGTGTTACAGGTTGCATATCAAGTCCTCACTTGGTTACATGTTTTGCGTCTTTGTTAATAATTGGATTAATTAGTTTGTAAACTTAGAAAATAACAATCAAAGAATTGGTATATCCGACACTTTCAGTGATCCTTTCAGTGTTAATATGCTGTAATTTTCAAATATACACTGTCAGAGTTAAAAAGAATACTGCTGAATTCTGGTTTTGGATATACACAGTTCATTTAGTCAGTTTCATTGTTTCGTCTGTGATTAATGATGTTAGGTTCTTTGTTATTTCTGTCACACAGGGTACCTATCTGCTAGCACTGGGCTTGACACAAGGCACTATGAAGCAGTTTTCAGCATGATTGTCACAGTTATTGTTCATTTACTTAATGAGTTGGATGTCGCAAACGATAAATCACTAATTAAATACCTAAACTGAATGAACTCAGATTTTTAACTTTTAACTTAATTTTTAGCAGTTCATTTTTTTCCACTAGTAATTCAGATCTGTTACAGAGACAGCGTCAGAAATACACCACAATCTCTATTGTTCTTAATTAATAAGTATCTTGTCAAGAGCCAAAACGAGCAAATGCATGGATCATGATTTAGATACTGTTAGGTAACCGTGAAATTAACTTCTATATAAAATCACATAAAAGAAGCTATTAACGCTACTCATCTTTATTTAATCTTACCTCTTAAGTATAAGACATTTCTTATCCAAGGTCAAAAACACTGAGACTCCCAGTGTTTACAGTGCCCACATCACCATGGCAACATGTCAAACTCTGTTATTTAGAACACTCCAGAAATCTCGTTAAACCGGTTACCTTAAGTGCTCTACGTAACTTAATTGCTTAAATAACACTTATATGCCATAAAGCATTAGATTATGTGTTTGTTCACGCGACGATTTACTGATAAGAATAATATTTAAAAATTACATCATCTACCCGTGGTTACGCGAGCGATCCCATGTGTAGAAATATTTTTTATTGCAGAAATCCAGATATATTTCAGATGATTTATTTCTCGAGAACCTCTGCCTTTGAATTATGCAACTTAATTAAACTAATTTTGGAAGACGCAGTTTAGCGTCTTATTCATATTGTCCTTCATTGACAACTGTTAAGACCTCTAGCAACGCCAACTGTCTCCATGGTAACATTCTTTTGTGGTTTTCATCAATGGCACACGGATAATTGCATAGATGGATAATTGGGTAACACTTTACTTGAGGGGCCACAACTGGTTTCAGTAACCAACATTCTGGAAAAAAAACTGTAACAATAATAATGATGGTTTTGTTTGTTTGTTTTTTTGCAGTGTCCTCAATGGATAACTTAAAAATTGCATACATTCAAGGATTCAAAAGTTTTATGGTCATATATACAACGTACAGAGTACAATGAAATTCTTACTTGAATGCCTTCTTCAAAGACCAGGCAAATAAAGCAGTGCAACATTACAATAACATCAAATAAACATCAGACAAAAACTACGGAGCACCTCTGGTGATATAGGAGAAAAAATTATCTCGTTATTGTCTCGTGGACACGAGATAATTAAGTGGCCACGAGACAATAACACGGCCACGAGATAATTAAGTGGTAGCCACGAGACAATAACGCCTGGCCATGAGATTTCAGAATTCCCGGAAACACATGGACAACTTCGAGAGTGGATAAAAATAAGTATAATTTTATAAAGGATAATACACGTTATTTAATTGTTAGCTGTTTTTACGGAGCCCCTCTGGTAACATAGGAGGAAAATACATGTATTGCGTGGCCACGAGATAATTAAGTGGCGGCCACGTCATTCTTAATGCGTGGGAACGAGTTAGATAACAGGTGTTATGCCGAAAAACGCATCCCTGCTTTAGAATGCATGCCGGTGTTCCGACGAGTTGAGCTTTTAATGTTTTTTTGGGGGTCAGGGATTTTTTAGGGGTTAGGGTTAGAGTTTTAGGGGTGTTTTGAGGGTTAGGGTTAGGGTTTTAGGGGTTAGGGTTTTAGAGGTTTTTTGGGGGTTAGGGTTAGAGTTTTACGGGTTTTTGGGGGCTATTGATTAGCACTACGGTAGCCTTACTCGACAAAGTCGCCTCAACTCGTTTCAGATCAGCGAACAATCGGTCATTTAGAGACAGGCATGCATTCTACGGCAGGGATGCCTTTTTCGGCATAACACCTGTTTTCTGTACGCTGCTCTAATGCACTTGTCCATAACGCCCTTAGGAAGTTAACATGTGTCTTCTCACAATCATGTTATCAATTTAAAAAATTATAATTTCTTTATAAAGTTATACTTATTTTTATCCACTCCGGAAGTTGTCCATGTGTTTCTAGGGATTATGAAATCTCGTGACCACGCATTATTGTCTCGTGGCTACCACTTAATTATCTCGTTATTGTCTCGTGGACACGAGATAATTAAGTGGCCACGAGACAATAACGCGACCACGAGATAATTAAGTGGTAGCCACTAGGGTGACCAGCTAATCCATGTCAGGGAGGACACTTTGAGCTACTTCAGGTTTTACAAACTACTTTCAAATTGAAAGGCTCCTGTGCTCGGCTAATTAGTTCAGCTCTTCTTGTGCTTTGATTGGTTTATTTCCTTGACTGAAAGACTCATCCAGCTGTTTCACATTAGCATTAGTGACACATGCATGATTATAG